CCAGACAAACTCATTTACCCACCAGACAAACTCATTTACTCGCCAGACATTATTATTTACCCACCAGACAAACTCATTTACCCACCAGACAAACTCATTTACCCACCAGACAAACTCATTTACTCAGACATTATAACTTACCCACCAGACAAACTCATTTACTCATCAGACTAACTAATTTACCCACCAGACAAACTCATTTACCCACCAGACAAACTCATTTACTCGCCAGACATTATTATTTACCCACCAGACAAACTCATTTACCCACCAGACAAACTCATTTACCCACCAGACAAACTCATTTACTCAGACATTATAACTTACCCACCAGACAAACTCATTTACTCATCAGACTAACTAATTTACCCACCAGACAAACTCATTTACCCACCAGACAAACTCATTTACTCGCCAGACATTATTATTTACCCACCAAACAAACTCATTTACCCACCAGACAAACTCATTTACCCACCAGACAAACTCATTTACTCAGACATTATAACTTACCCACAAGACAAACTCATTTACTCATCAGACTAACTAATTTACCCACCAGACAAACTCATTTACCGACCAGACAAACTCATTTACTCGCCAGACATTATTATTTACCCACCAGACAAACTCATTTACTCACAAAACATTCTTATTTACCCACCAGACAAACACATTTACACGCCAGACATTATTATTTACCCATCAGACAAACTCATTTACTCACCACATATACTCATTTATTCACCACATCTCTTACTCACAAGAGATAATACTCACACACTATACATACTCATATACTATACCTCAAGTGCTAATTGACTCATTTAACATATTCAAATACTCATACTTTAGGCATATAATGGTATTCAACAGAGAAAGCTAGAGATTAGTCTCTTTAGGCATCGTAATGGTATTTTACAGAGAAAGCTAGATACGAGTCTCATTAGGCATCATAATAGTGTTCAACAGGAAAAGTTATAGACGAGTCTCATTAGGCATCATAATAGTGTTCAACAGGGAAAGTTAGAGACAAGTCTCTTTGGGCATCTTTATAGTGTTCAACAGAGAAAGCTAGAGACAGGTCACTTTAGGCATCATAATAGTGTTCAACAGAGAAAGTTAGAGACGAGTCTCTTTGGGCATCTTTATAGTGTTCAACAGAGAAAGCTACAGACAGGTCACTTTAGGCATCATAATAGTGTTCAACAGAGAAAGCTAGAGACAGGTCACTTTAGGCATCATAATAGTGTTCAACAGAGAAAGCTAGAGACGAGTCTCTTTAGGCATCTTTATAGTGTTCAACAGAGAAAGCTACAGACAGGTCACTTTAGGCATCATAATAGTGTTCAACAGAGAAAGTTAGAGACGAGTCTCTTTAGGCATCTTTATAGTGTTCAACAGAGAAAGCTACAGACAGGTCACTTTAGGCATCATAATAGTGTTCAACAGAGAAAGTTAGAGACAAGTCTCTTTAGGCATCTTTATAGTGTTCAACAGAGAAAGCTACAGACAGGTCACTTTAGGCATCATAATAGTGTTCAACAGAGAAAGTTAGAGATGAGTCTCTTTAGGCATCATAATAGTGTTCAACAGAGAAAGCTAGAGACAGGTCACTTTAGGCATCATAATAGTGTTCAACAGAGAAAGCTAGAGACAGGTCACTTTAGGCATCATAATAGTGTTCAACAGAGAAAGCTAGAGACAGGTCACTTTAGGCATCATAATAGTGTTCAACAGAGAAAGCTAGAGACAGGTCACTTTAGGCATCATAATAGTGTTCAACAGAGAAAGCTAGAGACAGGTCACTTTAGGCATCATAATAGTGTTCAACAGAGAAAGCTAGAGACAGGTCACTTTAGGCATCATAATAGTGTTCAACAGAGAAAGCTAGAGACAGGTCACTTTAGGCATCATAATAGTGTTCAACAGAGAAAGCTAGAGACAGGTCACTTTAGGCATCATAATAGTGTTCAACAGAGAAAGCTAGAGACAGGTCACTTTAGGCATCATAATAGTGTTCAACAGAGAAAGCTAGAGACAGGTCACTTTAGGCATCATAATAGTGTTCAACAGAGAAAGCTAGAGACAGGTCACTTTAGGCATCATAATAGTGTTCAACAGAGAAAGCTAGAGACAGGTCACTTTAGGCATCATAATAGTGTTCAACAGAGAAAGCTAGAGACAGGTCACTTTAGGCATCATAATAGTGTTCAACAGAGAAAGCTAGAGACAGGTCACTTTAGGCATCATAATAGTGTTCAACAGAGAAAGCTAGAGACAGGTCACTTTAGGCATCATAATAGTGTTCAACAGAGAAAGCTAGAGACAGGTCACTTTAGGCATCATAATAGTGTTCAACAGAGAAAGCTAGAGACAGGTCACTTTAGGCATCATAATAGTGTTCAACAGAGAAAGCTAGAGACAGGTCACTTTAGGCATCATAATAGTGTTCAACAGAGAAAGCTAGAGACAGGTCACTTTAGGCATCATAATAGTGTTCAACAGAGAAAGCTAGAGACGAGTCTCTTTAGGCATTGTAATGGTGTTCAACAGAGTAAGCTAGAGATGAGTCTCTTTTGGCATCATAATAATGTTCAACAGAGAAAAGTGTGTGTGAGTCAGTGTGATTGTGAACATCAAAGAAGGGACTAGATGTCCCATCATTCAAACTTGAGGAGTTGAATTCCTGCTTATTCTACAAGAAATTTTGCAGCAGGTGGAATAGAAACCAGGGGGTTTGTAAGAATTGGGTGGAGATGTTCTAACTGAATGTTTTCAGGTGTCTTTATTCAGATGAAGGAAGTTAGTTGAATGACAGTAAATTGGATGAGCCAGGCTGGAATGACTAGGGTTTTTATAGATAGATTTGTTGGGGGTGAAGATCGTATCCTAGTGCACAGTAATGTTACAGTTCTACCTCCCGCTTAATATCACTTGTTTACCGTGTAACGACGAGTAATAGCTACCCAATGGAAGCTGTAACAAGACTGTCGGATTAATAATGCATACTTTTTATTACTCTGTTGAAGTAGATATAGCAAATTCAATCATCCATGGCGAGTTTGACACATTTATCTGGAGCCTGCTACTACACACCATAAACATTGAGGGATAATGAGAGGTTCCATCATAGTTGATAATGCCAACAACTTTTCTCCGCTGACATCAACCCTGTTTGAACAAATTTACCTGAAAATAGTCCGAGTGTGACAAATAATTGAGTATTGATTGACGCAAGGCGGATAGAGGCGAATGTACATACTACCGTAACCGCTTTGTACCGATTCCCTAGAGTCATTGATTCTGTTTCTCATGTCACAAGTGGCTGGTACTGGATGGATGGAATAGAAGAATAGAATATTTGTGTCATGAATAAAGAATGAAATTTGGACATTCCACGTTATTAACGGACATACTTCTCGTAACAAATACATTTATCTTAGTCTCGAAGCTGTCCTACATTTAAACCTGCCTTTACATATTATGCTGTAGAGATATCATTACAAAAATAAAAAGATTTAACTGTTATTTGATTCTCATTTTTCAGTTTGCCATTTTATTGATAGAAACTTTTAGGCCTTTCAATACAATTTCATTTTGTTATCAAACGAATTTATGAGTCTAAATCCAAATTGTTTCAGTTTTGATTTTTTTGGGAAAATTTATCTACTCAATTTGTTTAAAACATTTTTAATGTCTTGTAGTGTATAACCATTCCAGTGTTTTTGTAGATGTCTGAAATCTTCTGTTACTGGTTGGAATATGAAGAAGCCTCGAACACAGATATGTGTGTGGATTAAAAGTTCACTATTACATCAGACTCCCTATGATACTATTATTGATTGTTTACCAGAATTAATTTGTTTGAAAATTTTTCATGTTTGAATCTCTCAAAAAACTTCTTACCACAAATTCTGTATGGATAACCATGTTTAACAGTGCGTTTGTCCTGAACACAGTGCAACAAAACAACCACAGGTCCAGTGATTTGTAAACCGATTTACATGATAACAGAATACGCTCTGTTTTTATACAGATATTGATATTATACAGGGTTTCTTTTACAGGTTTACATATTTTATGAGATTTGGTTTATACAGATTATACAGGGCCTGGTCTATACAGGTTTACAGTGTCTGGTTTATACAGGTTTACAGATTATACAGGGTCTGGTTTAAACAAATGTACATATTATACAGGGTCTGGTTTATACAGGGTTACAGGGTCTGGTTGATACAGGTTTACATATTATACAGGGTCTGGTTTATACAGGTTTACAGGGTCTGATTTATACAGGTTTACAGATTATACAGGGTCTGGTTTATACAGGTTTATTATAAGGGTCTGGGTCATAGAAGTTTACATATTATACAGGGTTTGGTTTATTCAGGTTTACAGATTATACAAGATCTTGTTTTTACTGGTTTATAGATTACATACATAATTTCTTTTTACACAGCCACTGATATTACAGAGTTTTGTTATTTTGAATTCATGATAAACTCTCCTCAAATATAAAGTTGTTGTGAAACACAAATATGCGATTGGATGACAGACGACTGTAGCATCTGACAATACAATCCCTGCTCTTACTTGTGTGTAAATACTCAGGATGATGTGTTGATAGTTGCTGGATATGCAATTACCTGTTTTACAATCATTACAGGTGTTTTAATGAGATGATGACAAATCACATCTTAAAGCTATCTTAAACATAACACCTTGATTCTTATATACCTGTTTGTACAGCTGAGACATTTCTGATGACTTAATCGATTAGAATTGTACTTATATAGGTGAAATTTTAATCATTAAGGTGAATTAATTAACATCTTATTATTATAAATATTTGATTAAAACAAAGCTGAAATACCTGTTTATTTTCCTTTCCATTAGAAGGAGTTTAATCACAGGGGTTTGACTACCAGCCGTTTGTTATCTTTAACGTAATAAATTGATGCCTGTTTTATTTACTGTTACTCCACTTTTTGTTTCAGGTGGCTATTAAGATAATAGATACAAGGAAAATAAAGGAGGAATATGTACGTCAGAACCTACATCGCGAGGCTCGTATCCTTGGCCAACTCCGCCATCCTAACATTGTTCGACTGTACGAGACACTTAAGGTAGGTTCGCGAATGAAATGCATGTCTCCATATCCAAACCTACATTACCTCATAACATTATCTATCTCTTAATTAATCCTTTCACCACCGTAGACCATAATGGACTAATCCAGATCAATGCATGGGAGAGTCTACTAAAGTTACATAGGGGTGAAAGGGTTGAAATAGGGGCCTCAGTGGCCAAGTTTGACATTCTGCTACCACTAGCCCTCCACCACCACTCGGTCACGGAATCGAGACCTACGTGGGGCAGTCGCCAGGTACTGACCGTAGGTCTGTGGTTTTTCTCCGGGAACTCCAGCTTTCCTCCACCACCAAAATGTGGCACGTCCTCGAATGACCATATCTGTAAATAGGACGTAAAACACAAACAAACCAAACCAAAACCTTAAAAAGAAACTAGGACTGGCTCCAGGATTCTGATGTTGTATTGGACCTAGACAGGATGTTCACCTGGGAAGAGGATTGTTCGATGTCATTTATCATCAGTGTGAATCCGGCATACCTTTGTTTACCGAACAAGATACCACTAAAAATAATAGCATATTTACTGTAGAAGTAGAAATTATTTCACTGTTCATATGCTCACATTTTTTGCGTTGAGTAAATTACCTGTAGAGAAAAATATCCACACACAATAGATGTAGATTAACCATTGGTAATTGTATCTATGTTAGCACATTCAAATGACCTTTGACCTGTCACATTTCTATACAGGTACTTCCCTGTAGGTAGATAAAACAAAAGCAAACACGGACAATTCGATTAAGTGACAGTTTAAGATTTTCTTTTTCACACAAATCGCTGAAATATTTAAACCAAGTTAACTAACACCTGGTGTCAAATTTCTGCTTAAATAAAGTTTGAGCCAAATACTGGTTCAGTCCCTAGTCCTGGTGTTGTCATCATGTCTCGTTGAAAGAACCTCTTCAAAATCTGATGACATCAGTTCTAAACACTTTAAAACGAATTCAGCTATACCACTTCAGGGGAAAAACAGCATTCTCGTTGCTTTTAGCTTTGTAGGAGTTCAGTACTTTGATCTTTTTGCTCTACCTTACTTTTCCCTGCACCTCTCCCCTATACAGCATGTGCTTCAGCCTTGGTCAGCCTTGGTCAGCATTGTGAACATAACTGGTAATTAAATCGCCTGATAGAATGTCAGTCGAAGATGGTTTCTGGTTTAAATCACGGACTGATGTGTTCTTCCCATCACACAGGCATGCAGTAGATTGTTTCAGGACAAAACTGTGACGATAGTGCTATAGACGAGTTCCTCATGATTTTCATAAAAAAAAATCAAAGAATTTACATCTTTTTAATAATGAAATGTTGTCAAAAATTAGCAGGACACCATCGTCAATTAAACAGAAAATATACAGATTGGATGTTGTCTTGGAACAGAAAACACCCATCCAGTTCAGATCAAGCCGGAAAGTCTGAACAGACGCTGTAATTGGAAAAAAAGCTAATGTAATGTTTTTGAACGGTAGATTGTGTGTTTTTTATGCATGTGTTGTACTTTATCTTGTCTATACAAACCTACCTAATATAACTAAGAGTAAAATGACCTTTGGCCTCTGTTTGAGGTCATTATCATCAGGATATTCTAACTGTAGTTTTAGAGATTGATTGTTAAATCCAGTGGTGAAGGGTTTATTATCATTGATTCAAACATCACCTGAAGACATTGCATCGTGACGTAGACAGTTGAGCCCTAAGAGGCACTCCTGGAGGGAATTATTTGCACTCGGTCCTCCTTCATCATTTTATCAGTCTGTCAACCATATATATATATACTCTCTGGTCCCCCAATGACTGATGGTTGGTTATCATGTTTATATTAATTAGTTAATTAATTTTCTAATTGTATAAAGACAAGGTTTACTGAGTGACCTTTACAATATGAAAATTAACTAATAAGAGATAGATTAACGTGATAGTCAACTACCATGAGTTTTTGAGTCCTTTTTTCTCTCATAACATTCAAATTATGTTTATCAAACCTTATCTTTCTCTTTAGAGAGCAATTTTCTTTTTCCCAATTGGGAAAACAGTTGCCATTATTTATGATGTCACCATAGAAGATGATGTCATAACACATTATTACTTGACATCATAATTACAAGATTTACTGAATGAAATAATTTCAAGGGTGTTATCCACTAGTGGGTAAGCAAAAATGTTTACCAACTCCTAGAAGGCTTATCCATGGGACTGGAGTGAGGAAATGTAGGCCGTTTTCGTTTAACAGTTGAACCGGTCGGACCACAGTTGTTCGTTTATTAAATAAGGTCGGACCTAGTAATCTGATGCTGCCTTCAGGCGAGCCTTGATAAGACCTTGCAAGGCCTACATAAACATTTGCAGGTCCGCCAGGATTTATACTCAAAATCGTTACATTAAAAAACGGACAAACCGGTTGTTCCGCACAAACGAACAGGCCTCTATATTGGTTGTGGGAGAAATAGAGTTACGGACCTTTTAGTGCCGAGTCAGTTCAGAGGTGAGGGACCATGGATTACTTTATATTGGTTGTGGAAGGAACAGAGTTACGGACCTTTTAGTGCCGAGTGAGAGGTGAGGGACCATGGATTACTTGTAATACTCCTCCTTCCATTTAAGTTTCAATATTAAAAACCAATGCAAAGAGATCAGACAACAGTTTTGTAATTATCCTGCTGATGCAAAAGGAACAAAGGAGTTGCCAACAGGTGGAACCAGCGACCTGATCCTTCCAGTCTGCCACTCTACCAATTCAGCTGAAGGGAAATTACCTGTAGGGCAAAGGTAGAGGGTGATCATGATAATATATGCAACAATGAAAACCAGCCTTATGAAACCCTCCCAATGTCCGATTAGTTAACAATCTGGCCTTCTACGCAGGCAGCCGGGGTTCGATGCCCAAAGTCGCCATATGCATGGACTATTCAAAGAAAGTGATTTTCTTCTGCCCCCACAACTCCAAAAACCAAGGTTGAATATCAAATGGTCTTGGGTGGATGTTGCAGTATCTGTGGTGAAGCATTCAAGTGAGGACTGGCACTATAAAAAAGATGTCGTTGGAAGCACAGTCCAAATAAAAACCTAATACAAAATATTTCCTCCACACACGAAGGCATACACACATAGGGAGATAAACATGTAAGCCAGGTGGCAAAGGACTAGAAGGTTAGCGCCTGATAAAGCAGAATGATAGACCTAGTGCATCTTAATAGTTTCAGAGCTAGTACATCTCTGTAGTAACAGACTTAGTGCATCTAGATAGTTACAGAGTTAGTACATCCCCATAGTTATAGAGCTAGTATATCTCCATAGTTACAGAGCTAGTATATCTCCATAGTTACAGAGCTAGTACATCCCCATAGATACAGAGCTAGTATATCTCCATAGTAACAGAATTAGTTTAGCTCCATAGTGACTGAGTTAGTGCATCTCCATATTGACAGAGTTAGTATATTTTCATAGTTGTAGAATTAGTTTAGCTCCATCGTGATTGATTTAGTACATCTTCATAGTGACAAAGTAATTGCATCTCCATGGTGTTAGATTTAGTACATCTTCATTGAAGCAGTTAGTGCATATCCATAGTGACAGACAGTACATCTCCGTAGTAACAGTACTAGTTTAGCTCCATAGTGACAGAGTTAGTGTAGTTCTATAGTGACAGAGTTAGTGTAGTTCCATAGTGTCAGAGTTAGTGTAGTTCTATAGTGACAGAGTAAGTGTAGTTCTATAGTGACAGAGTTAGTGTAGTTATATAGTGCCAGAGTTAGTGTAGTTCTATAGTGACAGAGTAAGTGTAGTTCTATAGTGACAGAGTTAGTGTAGTTCTATAGAGACAGAGTTAGTGTAGTTCTATAGTGACAGAGTAAGTGTAGTTCTATAGTGACAGAGTTAGTGTAGTTATATAGTGCCAGAGTTAGTGTAGTTCTATAGTGACAGAGTAAGTGTAGTTCTATAGTGACAGAGTTAGTGTAGTTCTACAGTGACAGAGTTAGTGTAGTTCCATAGTGACCGAGTTAGTGTAGTTCTATAGTGACAGAGTTAGTGTAGTTATATAGTGCCAGAGTTAGTGTAGTTCTATAGTGACAGAGTAAGTGTAGTTCTATAGTGACAGAGTTAGTGTAGATCTATAGTGACAGAGTTAGTGTAGTTCTATAGTGATTGAGTTAGTGTAGTTCTATAGTGACAGAGTTAGGGTAGTTCCATAGTGACAGAGTTAGTGTAGTTCCATAGTGTCAGAGTTAGTGTAGTTCTATAGTGACAGAGTAAGTGTAGTTCTATAGTGACAGAGTTAGTGTAGTTATATAGTGCCAGAGTTAGTGTAGTTCTATAGTGACAGAGTTGGTGTAGTTCTATGGTGACAGAGTTAGTGTAGTTCCATAGTGACAGAGTAAGTTTAGTTCAGAGGCAGCGCAGTCTATAGTGACAAAAGCAGCACAGTCTATAGTGACAGAGGCAGTGCAGTCTATAGTGTTAGTGTAGTTCCATAGTGACAGAGTTAGTGTAGTTCCATAGTGATAGAGTTAGTATGTCTCCATCGTGACTGATTTAGTACATCTTCATAGTGACAAAGTAATTGCATCTCCATGGTGTTAGAATTAGTGCATCTTCATTGAAGCAGTTAGTGCATATCCATAGTGACAGACAGTACATCTCCGGAACAGGACTAATTTAGCTCCATAGTGACAGAGTTAGTGTAGTTCTATAGAGACAGAGTTAGTGTAGTTCTATAGTGACAGAGTAAGTGTAGTTCTATAGTGACAGAGTTAGTGTAGTTCTATAGTGATTGAGTTAGTGTAGTTCTATAGTGACAGAGTTAGTGTAGTTATATAGTGCCAGAGTTAGTGTAGTTCTATAGTGACAGAGTAAGTGTAGTTCTATAGTGACAGAGTTAGTGTAGATCTATAGTGACAGAGTTAGTGTAGTTCTATAGAGACAGAGTTAGTGTAGTTCTATAGTGACAGAGATAGTGTAGTTCCATAGTGACAGAGTTA